TTGGGGTTCGTTGGACTTCCTGAATGGATATATTCTTATCTTTCATCATACCAGGAAAATTCTCTTCCAACAAATCTTTGACAATATTCTCTGTGGTTTTACTATTCTCTTCCTGTTCTGGAATTCCAGTTACACATAGGTTATTCCTTTTGATGGTATCCCACATGAACCTTAGGCTTTCTTCATTTTGTTTTGATCATTTTTCTGATTTATCCCTTTCCAAAGTAGTGTTCAGGTATTTGCCTACAATCTCCATAATTTTGTCTTCCATTGATTCAATTCTGCCCCTTTGCTCATTCTGTGTCTTATCTATTTCTGAAAATTTAATATTAATCTTCTGGATTTCTCTGTGTAGATTTTGTATTATTTCTATTTTTTTATTTATTTTGACATTTTGTTGTATTGTCTTTCAAAACTGTTCTGGGGTTTTCTCTGTGTTTTCCTTGATCTGTCTCTCAATTCGTTGAAGATACCTAAATATAATTCTTTTGAATTCCTTACCAGGAGTTTCAGGGCTGCATATTCCTCAGGCATATGTTTTGGGTCTGTGTTCTGGTCCCTTGTTTTTCCTCCTTTATCTTTCTTCTTTGTGTGGACTGTGATACTCTGTTGTCTCCAAAGCATTTTGACATTTTTGTTTTTATATTTAATTGGTGATTGTATGTTGGAGTGACTTGCCCATGATTTTCGTTTTACTTGTTTTGTTTATATATTATCTATGTAATCAGGGTACTGTGCTCCTCTATTCACTAGTTGACAGCACTTATATACTCACCACCTGTCTCCTTTCCTGTTGTCAGTCTCTCGTGTGTCCCTGCTGACCTTGGCAAACAGAGCCTATTCTTAAGTCCCTGGAATCCAAATGAGAATGCTATCATTTTAAAATCCAAAATGTTCGCCACTTGTAAAGATTCAAAATGGGTGCGCCCTCGGTCACTTTAAATACCCAAAATGGCCACCGTTTGTAAACATTAAAAATGGCTGTTCCCTCAGTCACTTTAAATATCCAGAATGGCTTCCATGTGTGAACAATCAAAATATCTGCGCCCTCTGGACAGTGGAAGGTCAACAGCTCAGGTTATCTCACTCCTTGCTGTTTCCCTTCCTAGTCATTGGCCACCAGCTCAGTTGTCCATGTAGCCCTTGGTGACTAGGACTGATCCCTAGGTCAATTCTCAGGTCCCAACATCACTTGGAAATACTCAGGCTGTTGGTTCCATCAGAGTAGCTGACAGTCCGCAGCTCTGGCCAAGACTGTTTTCTCTTTTTTCAGGTTTTTCCATTATTTGGTGCCTAATCCACTTCTGTATAGTTCCTTTCAAAGCTCAGGGCTCCAGGATTATCTTCTGTATCTTTGTCAATTGGTTTTTCTTTTCTTTGTTGAAGAGGGTCTTTGTCGCTTATCTGCCTATTTGTCCATCTTAGCGGGGACATCTAATGTCTTAATAACTAACTAACCAAATTATCCTTCTCGGTTTTTTGTTTTTTTTTTTTAAGGACTTTCTAAGTGGGTACGTCAGCAGATTCAGCACCATTCAACATTTGAAAGTGCACTGAAGTCCTTGAGTGAATTTTCCAAAAAGCATCTTCAGGTCATTGATGTATCCATAGAGCATAGAAAGTCTATACAGGACAATGAGGGTATTCCTGAAGAGGCCTATCTGAACAACAATACCTCAGCTTCTTTGTTGGAAGTAGAAAGTCATCTGTCACCAGAAAGTCCTAAGGAAAATGATGCAGAAATGTATGTCCAGGAGCTCACGAGTCCTAAAATGATCATTAAAAATCCACCTCTACCAAGTGTCATCATCTCCAGAAAGGAGAAAAGTATGAAAAGTTCTGCCCTTTTATATTTGATATAAAAGTTTTTCCTTAGTTTTTCTGCAACAATACTTATTTTGGTATACTTTAATTCTCTTAAATATGTTGTTTTGTAATATAAGATGTTATTATAAAATAATGGAAGAGTATTTTGTGTTGGAATGGGAACTAACTTTTGCCAGGAGACCTGAGCATATTATCTGATTTGCCACTAAATAGCTTTGCCCCTAACTAGCTTTTTGACCATAAGCAAGTCACTTATCCTTTTTGAGTCTTTAAAGGAAAAGTTATGCCTGCATGGCTATCCCTCCAGGTTGTGAAGATCAAATAAGATAAGAGAGATGAAGCATTGTAAAGTACTTTATATATGATAGATGTTTTCTAAAGGCTATATTAAAAATTGGCTTAATTTATATATACTTCTCTTACATGAATTCTGAATTTCTTAATTTAAGGGGGTGAGAGACTTACTAAATGATAACAAAAAATAATATTTCATAATCTATTAAAATATAATGGTCTGTATCATTGATTGCAAACTGTGGGCTATAGAACAAATTCAGTCTGTCACAAAGTCTAAAATATTTACTGTCTGGCCCTTTACAAAAAAGATTATCAAGCACTGGTCTGCATCTCTGAATATAATTTTAATTGTTTAATTCATATATCATGATCTAAACCAAAACCAAACTCACTGCCATGAAGTTGATTCCGACTCATAGAGACCCCTGTTGGGTTTCCGAGGCAGTAAATCTTTACAGAATTAGATTGTCCCGTCTTCCTTCTGTGGAGTGGCTGGTGGCTATGAACCATGAATCTTCTAGTTAAAAGTCAAATGCCTTAGGCACTATGCCATCAGACCTCCTTATAGTATTTCTGTAATAAATAAATGTCATGGTGAATTCAAAGCCTTTATACTGATAGTCAAGAAACCTAGGTTATAGTCCTGGTTTGACTACTTAACAGTCTTTTAATTTTGAGCAAATAACTTTTCTGGTTTTCAGTTTCCTTATTAAATAAGGTTATTAACTGAGGTCGATTTCTTTCAATCACTGTTAGTGGATTTTCAAGGCAGATTTTTGCAGCCTATTCTCTCCTTTCTTTTGCCTTCTCCCTCTCCCTATTTATCCCTTATTTTCTCATTCAAGCCTTAGGTCTCTGTGTGGAATTTGATAGTTAACTAGACAGAGTTATATATTGGGTTAAGAAATATTGGAATCCTAAGACCTTTTAGAGTTGACATTCTGTACTTAAATAGAAATCTTGTTACTGCTGATTATGGACTCTGTATACTATAAAGTTATTTTAGTGTTTCTAATAATCATTTGGGAGCTCTGGTAGCATAGTGGCTAAGACAATTGCCTGCTAACCAGACGGCTGGCGGTTCAAACCC